TGTGCTAAAGAATTGGTCTCTAGCTGATGGTACTATTGGAAAGTGATGGGAACTTTAGAAGAGAGGACTAGCTGGAGGAAAAAGGTTACTGGGTGGATAACCTTGAAGGGTATATTGGTACCTGGGTCCTACCCATCCTTCTCTGTTTCTTGGCTACCATGAGGTGAGCACTTTGCTCCACCATATACTCCCCACCATTTTTGCCTTGCCACAGGCCCAAAATCAATGGAGCCTGCCAACCATGAACTAAAACCTCTGAAACCACGAGCCAAAATTAATCTTTCCTCCTCCAAGTTATTCAACTCAGACATTCTGTCACAGTGACAGAGAGATGACTAACACAAAAAGAGAAAAAAAGAGAGATAGTGAGGATAAGGAAAAAGATCAGTATTGATATGTCTTTCCAAGGGACCCAATACATTTTACTAGGCATTGGGGCCACTGTGGCAAAGTTGAAAAGCAGAACCTAGACCAGGAACTGAAAGCAAAACCACGAGGGATGTACATAAATCAAAAGTTTAGCCCAGTGATATGATCTTCTCACCAACAATTAAGAAATGAGTTTAGAAGACTGTACAAGAGTTAGCAGCCATGAGTCTAATGCTGGGCCAAAACAAAATTCTAACAGGGACCATGATCACTAATTAAATAGGAATGGTCGGGAACCACTGGTTGACCTCCAGTTTCAAGAAGAGGCATTTCACCATGGTCCTGCTTTTGGATTAGTCTAAAATGTATAAAATTATGAAGAGTTCCTTAAATTCTTATGTTCCCAGAATTATACATGTGCTTTTCATGTTTTACCACATTTAACTCTGACAACAACTTTGGTAGATATGATGGTTAAGTTTTATATGTCAACTTGGCCATACCACAGTGCCCAGATATTAGATCAAAGGTTTATTCTGGATGTTTCTGTGAAGGTATTTTTATGGGTGAGATTAACATTCAAATTAGTCAAGCTGATTACCCTCCCCAACTAGAATAGTTTTCATTTAATCAGTTAAAGGCCTAATGGAAAAAGAAAGACATTTCCTCAGCAAGAAGGAATTTTGGCTTTCGCCAACAGGCTACCTACCATCTATGGGTTCAAACTAAAACTCTTCCCTGGGTCACCAGCCTGCCAACCTACCAGACTGCCTAGCAGATTTTGGATTTACTATGCCTCCACAATTGCATTAGCCAATTCCTTAGTATAAATCTCTCAAGATCAGTATCTCTTTCTCTGACTCACTTTCTCTCTCTCTCTCTCTCTCTCTCTCTCT